AAAAAGGATGATAATGGGCGTGGTCGAGTGTAAGTTTTATTTTATGAATGAGGCCGTTTTCCCTAGAGCCACATGTCTTCATCCCGCTGGTTACTAAAAATAACCTCTTAAGTCTTGTTTTTGTTATTAAGCGGCGTCACGTCCTTACGGTTATGAGCTCTTTTTAGACGGAAGCAACGTATTGCAATTAGCTATTCTAAAGTATTACAGTGTCAATTACCACAAGGGGGCTTGTACTTCATCATAATCGAGCACTCTATTTTATTTAGAACAACTACATAAAAGATTCTATTTAAAGTGAACAGAAGGGCGGCATAACTTTTTTTGGACAACTGCTAAATCGCATAGTAGAGATATTAAGATTTTAGATATCCTAACGGTCAAAACTTCCTTGTTGTCCTAATCCTGTAAGAAATAAGGATAATAACAGATAATGATAAATAAGGAAAAAAGTATCGCCCAAGTATAAGCGGTAGGCTGTTACAAAACGAGTAGTATCTAAACCCAAATCAAAAATGAATAATAATAGCTCCGATCTTAGGCTTCATTGAAGTATTGAAGTATGTTAATCTCATGTATCTTATAACAGTAGTATCTATTCTATATTCCGTAGACACGGCCGTGAAAGGCTGGAACATACCACAAGTAGAGCATTGATGGATTTTTAACAACGAACGACGCTGACACCTGGTCCGTGGAAGGTGATCCTAAAAACACAGAAACAAAATTTGCTTTTTGCAAAGCATAGTATAGTTACATTTCTATCTGTACATATATAATTAAAATTAATATGGATGTGTTACGCTAATGAAGCACAATGATAAATTCATATACTTCCTATACTAATTTTGCTCATAAATTGCATCTATATTATAGGCATAGATTTGAAGCACCCACCTCAAAATCCTGATTTTGATCTAGCAGTACATACTTAAAATATCGGTACTACTAGAATGCCAATCCAAGCCCTTTCTGCTCATATATATATATAAGAGAGAGAGAGAGAGCCTAAGAGCATTCGGTATTAAACACCATGCATTCTTCGTTAATACAAGTTTCCAAGCATGCAAGCCTTCTATATAAAAAAAATTCTGTTGTTTATATTAACAGGGCTATACAATTCGGAACGTTTTAGACTACTATCGTACTGTTTTACTTCATGATAAAACAGTGACTGTATTACATGATATAGGTTATACTACATAATGGCTAAACCGTCACTTGTTTATATTGGTGACGTGCGGGCTGATTCCCAAAATTTAATTCTATTACCTGACTTTTGCCAAGAAAGACTAGCGCCGCCTTGTTTAAAAATTGCTGCTTAACATCCAATGAAAACCTATGACAATTCTGCTAACATTGTCGGTTTAAAGAAAAAGTACCGACTTAGCCTGATCTACAGAAAGGGGTCACTTCTCAGGTGCAGATCAGGCTGATCCGACGTCATCAGGCAAGCAGGTCCGTTTTTAGAATGACACAATAGCACAAAGTCGATTATAGTTTTTTTCAACGACCCCTACCCAGTTTGTTGATAGCACTAATAATGATTTTTATAATTATTATTGCGATAAGAACTACTTATAGAAATAAGTAGTTCTTATCGCAATGAACTTGTACGCTTCATAATCATTGTTAACTGCTCTCTCTAAGTAAGCGAGTGGCTGCTGAACAAACACAGCCTTCGGGCGAAATAGCCTGAAATATTACGTCCGCCTTCCAAAAAGAGTGCGTACATTCTACCCATAATCAACAATAAACACTATACGGACATGTAAGGAATGACAGAAAAAATGGAGGTAACCATTCTTCGAATCTCTACGCTGAGTAGCACTCTTTTCTCATAGTTACTGCTGCTACTATCTGGTGCTATTCTTAGCTTGGCCACTCTCACGCGGTAGTCACGTTAGGATCCAATATGGTCTTGTATACGCTGTTCCATTTTACCTACTACCGTCTGTTCACGCGCTCGCCCATTACTTATCTTCTCTGAGCTTTCGCTGCTATTCGGTGGCGAAAAAGCAGCCGCTGTTATGGCGTCACTTCGCTCACCAGTGTATTGCCACAGACTACTTGTAAAACGACCAGTACAGCAACAAAACGCCGATGGAATCATGACGGGACGAACAAATGGTCGCATCCAAAATCGACGATGTGTCGGAGACGCCGGCGAACCACTGGCATGACGATAGAGCAGTTTGCCATGCGCGTTGTTTTTGCCAGCAATTGAACTGGACTGGACTGTCCGACTAGGCAGGTAGTTGCTGTCTGACTATACTATATTTGCCCGGCAGTAAATGGGAACCTTCCGGAGACTCCACTTAAATGCTACGCAAGTTTCGGTGCTATTGCTAGGCGGTAACATGAAATAGTGTGATTAACACCGGTTTTGAATTTAGAACAATTGTTTCAACTTTCGAAATTTGACAAGTAGACCACTGCACCAGCATGAGGCGAAACATCGTAACCTACGGCGATGCTAGCTAGGTGTCTTTAGTTTGATAGGTACAGCTCTGTCGTAACAAATGACACTACCTATGGTACCCAGTTAAGTCGACCCGAGGTTCTAGAATGGAGACATTGGGATTTCGGCCGATCAACAATAAACTAGC